TGTGTGTGTTTTTTTTTTTTGGGGGGGGGGGGGTGGCGGGCAGGGAGAGACAAGCTATTCAACACCTACATGTCTTTGCAAAATCAAAAGAAAAACTGAAAATCTCCAAGGAAAAGCTAATATACCTAGGGAACAAAATCTGTTCTAAATCAGTGTTTGAAAAAAAAGCAGTGATGACTGATAGGGGGACCAAGACCTATTCTAGAAGTCTTGGGAAGGCCTGTTGTAAAGCTCTGTTTGTTTTTCTCAAAGTATGGCAGTATGTGCACTATCTTTCTGAGCCACAGTATACAAACAATGCAGTTTTTCTTAACCTATTGACCACATGCACAGGCTGATATTTAAAGACCCATTAGGTCTACTCAGTATTTTGTACTGCTATGCAGGTGAGGATTTTGCTTTTACTTTCCAAATTTGACTTACAATTTTTTAGAAATGAAAATTAGATATTAAATGTAATACTAGATTACATGACATATATAGTTTATTATTTATTTAATGTTCTAATATTACTAGGTATAAAGGAATACCAGATAAGAAATCTCTGTACGAAGCAAGAAGATCCATGGAAGCAAATTCTGGGATTTTCTGTTGCACTGCATCCTTTATGCTCTGTTCTTTAACACTCTTCATTCCAATTAATAGCTGAGAAGCAAGCACAGCTTCACTGACCTAAAAATAATATTTATTTTATTCAGAACCAGTTCACTACAATATTTATAAAGATTTTAAAATCTGAGAGTAGCAAGATGATGACAAATCCCTAATTACTCAACATACTATATTTTTAAAAGTCAGGAAAATATTCTGTTTCTCTCTGACATGGTACATACTATACTTAAACAAATCATTACTGCTGACAGCTTAATTACTACGTAAGTGATTTCAAATCAGATATCCTCACCTGGATGCCACTGATGTCTACCCACAAGTCAAATACATATCAGACAGTGTGCTGTTTTATTTGCACTGAATCAAATTTGAGGTAAACAAAGTCAGATCTGTCCAAGAGAGATTAAATGCACTACTCAGACAGTGTCCATTTTAATTTCCTCAAATAAGACCCATGCCAGAAATTTCAGGAAACCTTAATTCTTGTCTTGTTTGTGTTGTCTTGTTTGCCTGTGTAAGTAGCATAAGATGAAATTAAAAAAACCCGAAAAATTACCTCTTCAGAATATTGCACCAACCTGTGTAGCTGCTCTTACTGCAATCCAGGCTTGTACTTTGTAGCCTTCTGATTTCAGAGCTTCCTCAGAAGAAGAAGAGAGTTCTCCAGAAGAGATCTAAAATTATACACCAGTTCATAATTAGGATTCTAAATGTGTTATGGTAAAATATATTTTAAAGATAGAAAAAAGTCCTCCTACTTACAGAATTATTGTTTTATTTGCAAGTTGTAAAAATAAGCATTGATTGTAAGTCCATGGATTAATTGCTAAAATTGAAAAAAATTGTCCAGAGCATACTAATTGGCTGCTTCTGTAAAAATTTTCTCAGAGCAGTTCATACTATGGTCACTACTGTAGACAGTTTTGCTAGAATTCTCCATTTTCTGGAATCTTAATTACCTCTTTTCTCTTATGTTGCACATTACACTTTGAATATATGGCTTCTAGCCACTTTAACGTGGTTAAAGCCTTTTATATTTCTCATGCTGTCAGTCATATTTGTGCTGAAAAATTGAAATCTGGTAAAGTATAAATATTACCACTTAAAAAACAGGTTTGAGTGTTATGTTTTCTTTGCAAGATCAAAATTAATTAGTACATAATCAGAAATGAAAACACTGTTGGTTCTGTTTCTTCCTGTTTTATACAGAAAAATATTTTAAATGTTATCATTCAATGCAATAAACATGAGAAATAACATCAAACAAGATAAAATTCTACTGCTGTACTATATGATTTCTCTGTGTGATTTTTCTAGTAGGATTTTCAGTATCAGTCACTGTAAGTAATAGTCTGGCAAGGTACACAATGTTCTAACAGAAATATATTTCCTGCTTTGAAGAGACCACTGCCCAAAAGATAGAAAACATACGTTTGATTTGGAAGGCACCATCTTATCTGTCTGTGACACTTCTTCATTATTTGTGGCAAAATGCAAGTATAAAAGTGCTATTTCAAGGTATGATCTTCTTATTAACCTGTAAGAAACAACACACAGATCAATGTTACTATCAAAGTAAGCATTACAATGATACAATCTGACTCCTGCATAAGACTAGCCAGACAGCTTCGCCAAATAAATCATTCAGCCAGTCCTCATCATCTACTTAAAGTGTATCTTCTTTCAGAAAGCCATGTGATCCTGTTTTAAAGTCTTAGTGAGTCTAAAACATCCCTATGGTATACTTAACAACGCATTGATTTAAGAGTATGTCAAAAATAATTTGCATTATGTGCAACAAATATTCCATAAATAAATTGCAAATATTTAGTAAGAAAACTGTAATTCTGCAAGGGAAGTGATCTCTATGTACAGAATCTGTATGGGTTCTTCTTCCTTCCCCAAGTTAAGGCATATATCCACTGTCCTGGTTTCCCTGAAACATGGGTGGCTGAATTTGGATATGGGTCTTCAGTCAAACTCTTCCAAGAATCAGCAAAAATACCCACAGTGACCAAAACAGTCTTTCATTTCTTTATTGGACTCAGCTGACGAACTTTCTCAGTTCTGAGTTCTGTACCAGAATACTCTACATCTTCAGACAGACTGTGCTCACCAATTCCTTTTCCCCTATACTTCCTCCCCCTTTCAGTCATTTTTACAGTAGTATTATAAACCAAGCAAAAATCATAGACTCATAGAATCATAGAATGGTTTGGGTTAGAAGGGGCCTTTAAAGGTCATCTAGTCCAACCCCTCTGCCATGGGCAGATCTTCGGCTAGATCAGGTTGCTCAGAGCCCTGTCCAACCTGACTTTGAATGTTTCCAGGTACGGGGCATCTACAGCCTCTCTGGGTAACCTGTTCCAGTGTTTCACCACCCTCATTGTAAAAAATTTCTTCCTTATATTTAGTCTGAATCTACCCTCTTTTGGTTTAAAACCATTGCGTCTTGTCCTACCGCTACAAGCCTCATTAAATAGTCTGTCCCCATCTTTCTTATAAGCCCTCTTTAATTATTGAAAGGCTGCAATAAGGTCTCCACAGAGCCTTCTCTTCTCCAGGCTAAACAACCTCAACTCTCTCAGCCTTTCCTTATATAAGAGGTGTTCCATCCCTCTGAGCATTTTTGTGGCCCTCCCCTAGACCTGCTCTAACAGGTCCATGTCTTTCTTGTGTTGGGAACCCCGGAGCTGGACGCAGTACTCCAGGTGGGGTCTCACCAGAGCAGAGCAGAGGGCCAGAATTACTTCCCTTGACCTGCTGAAAATCATCATAGAATCACAGAATCACAGAATGCTTTGGGTTGGAAGGGACCTTTAGAGGTCATCTAGCTCAACCCCCCTGCAGTGAGCAGGGACAGCTTTAACTCGATCAGGTTGCTCAGAGCCCCGTACAACCTGACCTTGAATGTTGCCAGGGATGGGGCCTCTACCACCTCTCTGGGCAACCTGTTCCAGTGCTTCACCACCCTCACTGTGAAAAATTTCTTTCTTATGTTTAGTCTAAATCTATTCTTCTTTAGTTTAAATCCATTATTCCTTGTCCTGTCACAACAGGCCTTGTTAAAAAGATTCTCCCCATCTTTCCTGTAGGCCCCCTTTAAGTACTGGAAGGCCACAATAAGGTCTCCTCGCAGCCTTCTCTTCTCTAGGCTGAACAATCCCAACTCTCTCAGCCTGGCCTCATAGGAGAGGTGCTCCAGCCCTCATCACTATCTGGAGAACTTCTCCAACATTTCTATTCCCTATAGGTTTATAATGGTCTTTTTATGCAGGTTCCTCCCAGCTCTGTAGATCTCTCCAGATCTTCCCTATGAATTAGCTTTCCTAAGCACAGCAACAAACTCCTGCTCATGCAGTATCTATTCTGGGCAGAGTCATATTGCAGAGTTGACTATTTATATAGTAGAATAAATTCCAGCTTTGGTATTATTTGTGCAAAGCAAAATACAAAAGTCAAAGAGTGCTGTGCAGTTCAAGATAGGGCAAACTAAGCGGGAAGATGGCAAGTTCTACACTTAGTTGGTGACAATTTAGTTAACTTTCTAGTCTTGCTAACAAAAAAAGGATTTGAGACATCAAGAAACAACTTTAATTAAACAATCCCATAGATATCAAAGGGCTTGTATAAAGGTGATTGGGATTTTTAGTTCTCTGAAATAAGAAAGCCAAGGTCCATCGATGTTGCTGTCCATTCTTTTGGAAAGACGATAGCAAATTAAATAAGAGTGTAGCAAATTAAACTTGCAAAACGTCACCACAGTCCATTTCTGTACTACCTTCCATCATGCTGACTGCTTGTAGAGGTTTATTACTATGCTACTGCTTCTGTGTTCAGAGTTCTGGTTCATTAACTTAAGTAACAGAATACCCAAACAAGCAAGGTAAATTGCTGCCTTAACACTGTCTGTAACCAGACATGTCACATTATTCATTAAGACTGGTCAAGAAACTAAAAAAAACTGAAGTCCAATGTATCAGAGCTGCTTGACAGAATTTATTGGCTGGCTTGGCTCAGCTCTTCAGGCATCTTCTATGCAGATAACTAATGCCAAAGTCACTGTCCTTATATCTGTTACAAACACATTTCCTGTGCTCCTTCTGCCTCTGTTCTTCTGACTGTTTCTGGCTGCTAACCTTTTCAAGCTGGATTTCTGTTATCTGGAAGGGGGCAGACCACAGCTCATCTTCTGAAATATGAATAAACCCCCTGTTTAATTGATAGCTCTGTTCCTGGTGTTGACAGAGAGGGTACAAATTTGGAAATAGAACAGAGAGCTGTAACTTTGTATACTCTAAAATATGCTCTAAAATATGTTCTCAGCATTTGTTTTAAATAAGAGAATACACAGTAGCTCTTCTATACTGCAATAGAAGAAAACTCTCCAAAACATAAAAGATGCTTCCTAATACAAGTCCCACAGCAAATCTCAGAAAACTGTCAAAAAACTATCTTCATGTGTGATTAAAATTATTTTGAAAGTTATATAGCTGGTTTCTTACTCAAATTTTTGGTCATGTTGCTGGCTGAGTTTTATAGCTTCCAACAGGGTTTCAACAGCTCGAGATGATTTGTTATTGCCTGCTTCAGTTATCTGACGTTCTACCTTACCTAAGAAAGAAATATAGAAAGCAGATTTGCAAGATTATATTATTGTTTTTTTCTGTAAGACCCAACCTGGTCTTCCCTCCAGGAAAGCTGAACAACATCATAGTGCATTATCTATTCTCTTCCTGATAAGCAAAATCTTTTCCAGTTTGTTTAAAATGTAATGCGCAATGCTTGTATAGCAAATTACTTCACAGAGTAGCTAAAATAATCAAATTTTGGAATCATAATGACTCCTAACATGTAGTGATGCTAACTAGAAGACCATTGTACCTGGAGGAGCTATTGCACAGGCACAGGCCTGTTCTGTGCTGCGCTATGCTGCACATAGAGTGTGGCCCTCAGGCCTGTGTTGTGCTGTGCACATCCCTTAGCCACAGGAGAAATATAGCCAGCTGGCTGTAACAGAAGAGCAGCATCTTAGTACCAGTGATTACACCACCTGCCCTTTCTGTAAAAGTGCATCAAGAAGTTCTTCCATGAATATGCTTTTTGTTTGACAGTAGAAATGATGAATAGAATTGTTTTCTTTTAAGAAAATCCTCTAACAGTGCAAAAGACCAAAATGAGGCAACCTTTCCACAGACAGGATCTGCGTGTTGTGCTACACCCTGATTAGAAGCCCATTCAATACTGCACAGCTTGGGGTTCTCAGCATCTGAAGGGACATAAGATTATTTACACTACCCTCTTTTTCTTTATAGTGTTAACTCCAATAAATGGCATTTTAAGAGATACTTTACAGAGTCTGAGTGCCTTTCTGGCTGGGATCCTAACAAACCAACACCTCCTGGTGCAAAACATAATGCTGCTAAAATCCAAATGCATGCAAACACTGTGTAATTCATTAGCTTTTTTTAAATCATTTAGAAATACTTTCTGAGCCTCTCATCTTTAGTTCAGACTGATGCAAAGAAGCTAATTAGCTTTCTACAGTGTCCTTAATTTCATTGGCTACACCCTGATCCCTGATAACATAGAGGTGGGAGAAGTTTTACAGCAGTTTTGAAATTATTTGTTGTGTAATGCATCCTGAACTATGCTGGTGTGATACTAAACACAGGAGAGAGATCTGCAGCTAGACAGGGTGAGAAATACCCAAATCTGTTCTATTTTTAAAAGTAAAATGTCTCTGTTTTGATAGAGGTCACGTACATAACATTGCCTAGGAAGGCAATCATGATGTACATTTATTTACCTATCTGAAAAAGAAGTTCAGCTTCCATATCTAATTTTTTTGTTGCAGATGCTCTGCAAAGCTTCAATGCTGATTCTAAATGTTTGAGAGCATGTAGCCATTGCAGTGGATCTCCTCTTGCAGGTGTACAAGCTACTTTTTCAGCTAATGTGTGTCCTAAGGAAAAAAAAAAAAAGGACAGTTCTTAGTAAATTATTTAACAGAAAACCAATTTATGCAAAAAGAAGCAACTTCCTTAGAACAAATGCTGTTACATATTTACTGTTACAATCCAATTCTCAAAAATCAGAGTGATTAATGGATATAAATATAGAACTATAATGTTGTTTCATTACTTTATGATGCCATTGAGGTTTACCTAAGCCGTCCAAAAGAAACTCAGGCTACACAAATCAATTCTTTCACAAACTATCTGGAAAGACTAGCAGTAAGCCACTTCATAACTTTATTTCACCTGGCCGTCGTAGGCAAAACCTAAACCTCTCTGAGCATTTCCAAATTCCCAAATTCCTTTTCTACTAACCAGTTCTAAAGGCTTCTTTGATGTATTGCATATCTTTTATACTGTACTCCCCAATATTCATCTGTATTTATAGGCTTTTCCTAAAAATGTGGCTTCAGAAACAGGAACTGGTCAAATATGACCATTACTATAAATGGCTGCACTGACTAGTGCTCCGATGTGCTCCTGGAGCACATCTTCCTGAAAAAGAATCCAGAACACTCTGAGGCCGCTCCACAATGCAAAGCAAAGTGCAGTAAGTGATTTCGAGATTTTGTAGTCCATTGTAAGTCAGATATACACCAAATTAAGTTTAGCAAAAAGAACATGGAGACAATATCCCTTTCACTGTATTTGCTATACAGCAACAAATCTCAGACAGATCTTAAAGGTCATCTTCTGTTACTATTCAGCATATTTCCAAGTTTCTATATAAAGAAAAATTATCAAGAAAAGTTGTTAAATTAAAGGGTGACAACAATAACAGACACTATTTTATTGGGATAGAGAATTATCACTATTATTGTGTATGATTTGATATCATTAGTTGGTTCCCATATAACTTCTACCAGAGAGATGGAACATATACAGGAAGTTTTCACAGAATGAATGCTTTGTACAGAAGTTGGAAAAGTATTGTTAACTTGACTTAAAAAACCTGAAGTTCCCATTAGTTTCATCAAGCTATAACATTAATATTTAAGCCTTTGTTGATTATAGTTCCCATAAGAATTGTACCTTGCTTATACACATTGCATGGAGCCAAACAGGCATCTACTGTTGGTTTTCAGAATATTTTATTTGCATATGAAAACAATTGATTTACTACGTTCTCTTTTGATGCATCAGTTTGTCTGCTGTTGCATAAAATATGAATGAAAATGAACGAAAAATTAAAAATAATAATTTTTCTTACCGATTCTCATTTTGACTTGGGCTAGCAAGTTGATATGTGGCAAGTAGATATTTTTTGTAGGTAGGACCAGGAAAGTCAAGGTACTGTCTTCTGTGTGCCATTCAATGGGTTCTCCACAAACAAAAATCTATGAAAAGAGTGTGCTTTGTAAAATCAAGTTGCAGACAGCAAATTAAATAGTAGTTTGAAAAGGTAAGTTAGGTATTGCAAAACCCTGGAACTCAAATGTGTCTTGTAAAAGTGCTAGAAAAGGGCTTGATACTCCCAAACTCCTTTACTTCAGTTTGTGATTGTCTTCTTTGCAGAGGAGTTTGGTAGCAAATGAACAATTTCAATGAACTCTCGATCAAATTTATTAATGTTAAGCTCTGGTTTCTAAAAGCAAACTTCCTCAAATCACTCTTTAACAAATAGATGTCCCAAGTAACCCGAGCCCTAGAACGAAACTGTCATTTCTACAAAGAAATCTGACATCCAACAAAGGCCAGAAAAGAAAAAGAAAATAACATGTACGGACCAGTCAAACTTTTCATTCATGGAAATAAGGCGATGGGGACATGCTGTAAACTGTTAAGTCTCTTGAAGTCTAGCAAGTCTCACAAGCGGAAGTCTGAGTCTGAAATGATTTATATGATTCTTTATTACTTGGGGGAACAAATAGTTCAATGGATTAAACTTCTATATTAGGAATATGAGGAAAGAATTTGATCCAAAAGCTTTTCTTTAGAAACTGTATCAAGAATGGGTAGAGACTGCAGAAGTGTATATCTATTTTTGGATCACAAAATAGGTAAATGGTTTATTACTATACATTTCTCTCACAGCTTTCATGTCTTCAGATTTTTTTTTTAATTGCCTATTTAAATTTTTACCTGGAAATTATTTCTTCATACTGATTTTAATGATCTGTCAATCTAAAACATCATAAACAATATGCTATTTTATATATATTTTCTAATTCAGATTATTCTAAGATAAAAAGATGAATTCTTAAACTTGGATGCTCAAGAGTTAGGAATTTTATGAGATGTACATCCTCCCTGAGGTGCTGAGTATGAACATCTCTCTCAGTTCAAATGGGAAAAGTGAGTGTTCTGCATCTCTTTAAAAGTCAAACTACCTATTTCAGTTTTCACAAATGAATGTACATTTTGCAAGTATTCAGTATTTTTAAATTGTATGAAAATACCAGACTACATACATGAATATGCATGATGAGTATGCATAAATAAGTTTGGTAAGATTAATTACTTCTTTACACTATGTAATCTAGGGAAAACTGAAGTGATTAGTTAATAGGAATAGCCCTTTTTAATAAATTGTTAAAATAGCTTCCAGAATAGATAATTAAGATTGTTGGAAGGATTTGCAAATGCTGTGTAAATCATCAACATATACTCACTGCTTTAATGGTAAGCTCATGTGACAAAATTAGTAAGTCTAATGGTTCCACTGTCGAAGAACAATGTTCTGTATCCTCTACTGTTTGCAGTGTTAGTATGTCTGCCAGCAGAAGCATACTTTTCACGAGAGTCAAAGACGTTGGAGGGGAAATAAATGTATCCTCTTGGAGTAAACTGATGATGTTCTGTTTGGACATAGACAACATAAACCAAAGCAGTTACTACTTTTGCTGTCTATTTATGAGGACAAATCACACAAAGTGAAAAAAAAAATCTATTTTAGAGGCACTATTTCAAGCTTATTTAATGCTGGCATCAGCTGTTCTGACTACATGAAAAATGCAGCAAAGAAAAGTGAACAGTTTCTCCTTTGTGCTCAAACCTGCAAAAGAAGTTTAATGCCTGCCACGGGACGTTTTTCTTGCAGGTCAAGAATAGCAGCTTGCACCATCATTTCAGCCTGAGTCTCAATATCACCAAAGGCTTCTGCCTCTAGTATTACTTCTTTTATCACACTTCTGCGTTCAGCCACATCATTTTCTAAAAGAAGAGAATATATGAATAGTGAAAATACAATAGAAAAGACTTTACGGTATCTTCTACCATTCTTAAGAAGTCACTTCCACACTAAAAAGTTACAGAAAATCTGACATTATAGATTCCACATTTACCATTTCATCGGTTCTGTGCCAAACTTGCAAAGTTTCTTCTTGCCAAAGAAAGAAAAACCACTTAGTTTTTACACTGCACTTGGTTTAAGTTCATCCAAATACATTCTTTGTATGTAAGCCACCAGCATAAATAATTAGATTTTGTACACCAGATGTCATTCTCACCCATAAAACATATTCTACATATTCAAAAGTCTGATCTTAGTTATCATTCCAAAACAGTAACAGCATTCATGGGAATTATCCAGAAGAGATTAAATAAGAGTTTGGCTACAGACCTTGACTGTGATTTTGATACTTAAGTGAGTATCAGAGTTTATACTAAGTTCATAGAACTAAGGAATGAAAAGCATTTTATTCATAATCAAACTGCAAGAAATGTATTTTGCAGTATCTCACTTAAATTCTTCTAAAAAAAAGAATCTGGAGATATATAGGAACATTTCATTTACTGGAGATATAACAAGTGAAAAAAAACTTCTGAGACTTTTAAAACTAGAAGTATGTAGCAACAGTGTTTTTTTAACACAAGCATACTTATTTAACTTAATTACACTAGAACATTTGAAACATTTTCACCCACAAGTGATTTATCAAAAGATAATGATCATTAAATGAACATTAATATAATGCTTTGTGTTTACATGCTCTAGGGAGAGATTGTACTCAGAAATATATTTTCTTTTTTGCATTGGATGAATTTAATACAAATAATTGCTCAGTGATAATACAGTCCCAGAATTAATGTTAATATTTTTTATTTATGAATAGGAATTGTGTCTGAATAGGCTTACTTGCCCATTATACTCCAAGATTCTAAACCAAAAAAGGCTAATACCTTCCATATCACCAACGCCATGTATCTGTGTTACTAGTGCAGTCACTAACATTGTACGGCATCTTAGCCATAGATGTATGCTCATATGCTCTTGTGCTGTTATACTGTGAGGCAGTCGAACATCTTCAACATAAGCATCCTAATAATTTCCAAAAGCAAGAGAAATGTTACTTTCAGAGTCAACTACTTTACTACAAACAAAGCAACAGGGCAGCATCAGTCCAAAATAAATCAAATTAATACAAATATATTACAAATAATAACATAATTATAACCAGAAGTTTATGTGAAGGGTAGACACATAATTTTTTAATAACAGGATTCCATTTATTATTTAACTTTTAATCTATTAAAAAACCGAATTGTAACAAATGGAAATTAAACCACCTTTTATGGAAGAGTCCATAAATATATCCATATACTGTATGTGCCATGAAGAATAATTCCAACACTTTGGACTTTATTCCTCTCAAACAGGACCATTACACAAAACTCTAAGGCATATCACAGTCTAACTGTAGAGCAGGATCAATATCAAGTTCTGGTACCTCACTAGTAATTAGAAAGAAATTTTTAATTTTTGATTTCTAGTTTTTAGTGTTTCTGGTGATTAGAAACAAATATTAATGTAATATAGTACTGGAAGTGTTTGGGAGAATTCTCAGCTCAACTCCCTGTGCCATCTTCACATATTAGAAACAGTCTTTCTATTACTAAAATTCTACAGTCCATATTCTAAAGATTTGTTCCAGCAAGCAATGAATGGACACTGCACCGCCTGTGTTTTACTTATACAAAAAATCATCATGAATGACTTGCATTGATGCAAATGAGGAAAAAAAGTAGCCATAACTCAGTTACTGGTTACAGGACAGTCCTAAGAAAGTGTAGGAGCGAGTGCAGAAAGACAGAAGACCCTGATACGCAACACAGACAGAGAATGCACTGCATGCAAGAAAGTCCAGTCTCATTATGCACGTACAAAATCTGGCCTCACTGCTCAACTGGTCTGTGCATGTGAGTCAGTTTGACTTACTGTGCACTCGAGAGTGACTGTGCGGTGTATTACCGGTAGGTTTTGTACATTGGCTTTCCAAAGTATAGGTCAGTATCCCTATGTGTTAGACAACAGAAGTCAGATGAAATCTTGCTAAATTTGGAACACAGCAATGATGTGAACTGGTCTGTTTGGCTGTTTGAAAGAGGATACTCTGAAGTAGGTTTTCAATCAAAAAACCTAAAATACCCTAACTGAATAATACAAGATTTTCACCTGATAGCTATTTTTTCCACTTTCTATTTGGGTGTTTTTAAACAACAGGAGATTTTCAATGCTGGCATTTGAGAGTATACAAACAAAAACCGTAATTCCTAACCACATACAAATTAAAATGATGATTATAGACATATTAAATATACTATAGGCAAGCAGGTAACCGAAGCATGTCATACATCATTTTCTCCCCAGGTGAATGCTAACCGCGTAATACAGATGACTGCTATGTTCTAGTATTCTGAAAATCACTCAACACTTAATACAAGACTTCAGGTACTAAGACACAATAGTTTAAATAAATAGTTTAAAACAAATATCCACACATACCGAACACTCCCTTTCATCCTTTTCTTCTTGAAAATGTGTCACTTCCATCCTAAAAATTTTTGCATCTTGGAGAAGTCGAATTGCAGAGAACACCAAAGCAACACTGTGATACAGAACAATATTATTAAAAAATAATAATTGTATTAGCCATTTTATGCTTTTATGATAATAGATACTTCATTTCTGACTATATCAGAGATGTCTATCAGCAGTTATCAATTTTTGCTTCAGTAGGACAAAAAAATTGCACTCAGAGTATATTCTGAATCTGTTGGCACTGCAGTATGAAAGTGAGAAAATGGCAGTAAGAGAAAAGGTTTTGCCAATAACAGACATAACCTGATAATAATGGATAAGCCAAGATATATCATATTCTGTTGGAGCAGTCAAAACAGAACTCCACTATAACTTTCAGTTACACATATCTGTCTTCAGGGCTGGGCTTTTAGAAATTAGAAGATGTAAAAATACTGAAAATGACAAAATACATTAGGAGAGTTCTGTATCTCATCCACAACTAGGGAGGTAAGAAAACACCTTCCTCCTTAAAGCTTTTCCAGACCATATGTTACTCCTTCTGTTGAATTCACATGACCAAATGCTCACAGGATCTTAGTAAACACCATCAACCAAAAATTGAGCCAGGTGCCATCCTGGCAAAACCTCATAAGCAATCACATGACTTTGAGTCTGCTGCCTCCACCCAAATCATAAATCCTTTTCTGGTGCTCACTCCAAACAGCATCTAGAAAGGCACAGACACTATTAGGACTGGTACAGCATTCAACCCCACATTTCAAAAAATTGTTAGTAGGAATCCCAAAATATTGTCAGGTTTCTTAAAATATTAACTACTAGGGTTTTTTCCTTTTTATGCTGTCTTTTTAGAGCTTTCAGATACACTGTTCAGTTTTCGTGACATCTGTAGAAGTGCGTATCTGTAACAGTAGACTTTGTGAATACTATAGTTTTCATGATATGAAGACACTTGCAAAACCAACATAGTGAGAAGATCTTTTTTACAACAGGATTGTTGCCCAAAGAACATGCTACTCAAACTATTTTGAGAACTGCCCAAACCAATGTCTCATGGTATTAGTTGTCCATCTCTAATTGTATGTTTTCCCCTACATCTGTAAATCTCTACTTTCCCACCTCTTCTCTAAAACATTTTTGGGGTTGGGTTTTTCCCCCCGCCCCCACAATTCTACTTATTCTCTACCCACTGAAACATATTTTCCTCATGATGCAAAAGTACCTGAAGGTATCCCTAGCTCACCTCTTAAAGGTTTTTCAGCAAGTTAATTATTAAAAATGTATAACCAAAATTCTCATCTATGCTGTCTTTTTACATAGAGAGACTGTTTACATAGAGACTGGCTGCTATGAAGCAAAAAAAAAAAAATTTATGAACACCTTAAGTCCTTTTTACACTTCCAGAACACTGTAAAGAGCTTTTAATGCAAGAGAGATTCAGGCTCTGTGTGAATTTACTGCTTTTGAAAAGTTCTAGATTAATTGTTGTAAAGGCAAAGTTCCCGATTCATGCACAAAGAAGTCAGAACAAGAGCAGCAGTACTCTGAAATTACTCACATTATTCTGCCAACTTGTATCTAACCACAGGATGGATAAACTCCAGAGATAAGAGGGTAGTTAAAAGTCTTCCTGTCATTTCTGATTCTATCCTGCTTGCTGTTTTTGTGGTGCAGAACTGGATTGATTACACCAGTTCAGCACAAATAGACCCCGAAGTAACAATGAGAACCAAAACTGTTAATATCTTGCCTTTCAGCTCTCAGAATTCAATCCTTATGAATCTCCTTCATCATCCCTTTACCTCAGTTTTATTCAACAAAATGAAACCAGAATAAATCAGTGCTGAATTTGATGATAACCTTCTCTCTAACAATGGAAAACAGGAAACAGAATTTGCTTATAAAAGCAAAAGAGACAGTAGGGATAATGCAATGAAATATCCCAACTGCTTTTCTTTCTTTTTATTAAGAAGAGTTTTCCCCTGAAACCAGGCATCAAAGTTAAAATTACAGGAAAACGTGACATTTTTCAAAACATTGTTTGAGATGCTATGGCTAACATTTCTCAAGTTGGAGAAGGTGCAGCACCCAAGAGTATATACAGGCTTTTAAGGAATATTAACCTAACTTCCTGAGCACCACTGCCTCCAGTTAACTGCTGTTGTCAACATTTAGCAATTCTGAAAATGAGGCCATTTTTACCTACATGCTTACATATAAATTTCATGAGTAAAATGTAGACCACAAGCCCAAAGGTTCATATATGTATTGTTTTAAGCAGCAATGTATTCACATAAGCAGACAAGCACATATTTGGGTAATTAGAAACCTCACATACTTAGGGAGGACACCATGTAAATACTGTCCTTGAGATCAATGGAATTAGTCCTATACATAAACTTATTCTGAGGCATAAATTTTTTGCAAGACAGAGGCTGTAATGTAGAAGCTTCCCTTGATGAAATTTTTGTGACCCTCTTCTGCTGTCAACAAGAGTGATGTGTCTATATATTTCCCTTGACAAAATACACATCCTTTTATCAGCTGAATCAGAAAGTGACAAGATGATCAAAATAGGAAAGTACAGCTGACTATAACAATTTCACCACTAAGTCACTTCGCCAAAGGAAAAAAATGATGAATTTCTGTAATATCATGCAAAGTTTGATTTCTAGGCTGGCAGGTGGGAAACATTCAGCTGTCTGAAGGAATGTTTCATTTGTATCTGAGGCAGATATATCAGCAGTTTCCATGGATGGCAGTGCAATAAAATTGTAAAATAGGTTAAAAAAACCCAAACCCTTGCTTTGTTTGTTGGTGGGGTGGTTTTTTTTTCCTGCTATGTGACCACTCTCAATACATAGGGCCCATTAAATACCCATGAAAAATTTGAGTCCCAAAAAATGATCCATAAAATGCTTGACATCTAGTGGAACCCTTGATACTCTAAAAAAGTTTCTGAGAGAAATTATAAGCCAAGAGAGAAACTACACTCCAGGATATAACTGCATGTCAAAAAGAAGGGTCCTGCACTGAAAATGCCTTGCATACTGGAACCAGTTTAGCAGGGTGGGAAAGTTTGGGTCAGAACTCTACTAATACAGATTTTACCAAGCCTAGGATCCAGCTAAACCGGATTTATGCACAGGATATTTCATAAGTCTGCGTACTGGTCCTTAGATACTAATATGATAATTTTATAAAATCCACATGGCACTCAAAAGCACAATGAGGTCACTGTCCAGTGATTTGTTGTTTTCTCTTTGACAAATTTATGGTAAATTAATCTAATTCAAAAGGCACTGAAATAGATTAATATTTAATTATGAGAAATGTCCACAAATAGCCTATGAGTCCTTACTTCACATCTTCACTAATGACTTTACCACTAAATTATTACATTCCTAATATCTGAACTTTTGGGAAACTTCTATCTTTTAAAATAACATAAACAAAACCCGGGTGAAAGACCATGCTGCAGTACCTTTACTGTTTTGACTTCAGTAGTCTACTGTGAAGCTCCTGCCCTTGTTAATTTATTTTTTTATTGCTGTAACATAGCAGCTAAAAAGGAATTCTGCTGTTTAAAGGCTATCTAATTTGGAGGTTTGCTTATTCACTTAAGACAGGTGGGAGAAGGAAGATAGTTTGCTTTTGACATAGAGGAAAATATTTCTTTTTTGTTAATTGGGTAAAAAAAAAAAAAATTGAGACTGCTTTATCTGTTGACCAGCTGAATCACCTACTACTTCATCACTAAGAGTGTTACAGCAATCTTCAGTATTCCAACAATCAAGAAAAATTTAATTTTGCCTTTTGCTTGGTGCTTACTGTAACGTAAGATTTAGTGTAATAATTTTGGTGTGTTTAGTCAGATTAGACCTAAGAAAAGTTGCAAATACTGATTACATTCTACCTAATCTCAATATAGTCTGGCAAGTGACAGTGCTACACCTCTATATACTGCAACTCTAGTTAACAATTTATACCCTCAAAGATTTTTCAACCTAATAAAAAATTAGATAAAAAGAGCTTGACACTAATAAAAATGATGTATTGTTAAACTATTATCCTTCTTATACAAATGAATTTAAAATTACAGGCATGTTAAACAATAATCCTTCTAGCTGAAAGATCAAAACAAGGTTCAGAATTTAACACCTACAGAGTTAATATATTTCTGTTTGCCCCATATATTCAAAGAACAGCAAAATTGTAATTTCATTAAGTTCTCCAAAAGAAATCAGAACCTCAAAAAAAATCACAGATTTTGGAAATTATAATTTGGAGAAAATATCTGGCAGATCATGTAAATACAACAGTATTTTACACACTATCACTAACAATATAATTAATTCCTGCTAAAATCTATTCGAATATGTTAAAGATTACATCAATGCTTTTAAATCAAATTAATATAAAAATATTATTTTAACATTTTGATTTGACAGCAATAAGTACGCCAAGAGGAAATGTTCTTTTAGGATAGTAACAGAGGGCATTCTAGAACAAAGTAGAATTCAGTGGTTCAGAGATAGCATTAGTGCTCTGCTGTACACTTTAAAATTAAAAAAAACACATGACCTAACATATCCAGACTTACTTTAACAAAAGCAGTGAACATTGCAGCTTTTTCTTTGATTTTGTATAACACTGTATCACAAAAACACCTCACAGAGAAATCATAGGCCAATAACTAATGATCTTTTAAAAAGTAAAATAAAGCAATAATAAAAAATGAAATGCCAGTGTAACTTACGTTTGTAGATATACTAGTGGGGTTGTTATGGCTGGTTACTAAGATTTAGAATATTAATGTAGATGTAAAGGATTCAAAGAAAAAATTGCTCAATTTTTTTTTTTTTTTAATCTGCTCTAGTCAAGGCTGTGCAACATAAGGTTGTTCATAACATTACTTACCTGAAAGCTGCTTGATGCCTTTGCTGAGAAATAGCAGCAAGCTGAATTTTGGCCTCAATAAGAGCTTCTAAATCTTCAGCAGAACACCGAGATATCTCCCCGTCATATTTGTCCTGTAAGTTCTGTGCAAGAAGGCTAAGACTTTCTTCAGCTTCTGCCAATAAAATCCCCTAGAGAACACAGCATTGCATGATTTCAAAAAATAATGAAATAAAAAATTTCTTTAAAAGTATTTTATTCTGTTATAGCTTACAATCACTGTACCCTAAAACAAATCAATTTGAATACAGTATGTCTTTTTTATAAATAGAAGGGGGGATAATTTTGCTTTTTTCAGGTTTACAGATTCAATGTGTTCAAAGTAGCAACATCTGAACTGTGTCTGTACTATTGCAATTTATGCTTAACTACATATTTTATGACTTAGCAATATTACTCAATAATTTTTCAGTCTTATCTTTATCTTATAGCTAGCTATACTTGATAATTTTATACTATACTTCTTACTATGCTTAGTAATTTTAAACAACAAAATACAATATTAAAAAACCCCAAAAGAATAGAATGGTTAAAGAAAAATCAGAAGGGTAAGAAATGTATTATGTCTCTTAAATAAGCCCTATACAAATTAATTTAACATTTCTATTTTAGTAATTTTCAAGATGCTGTTTTCAAGTTACTTTCAAGCTATACCACAACTTTCAAGTTTCTAGTGCACAGCATATACCAATTGCCATACAAAATCATCCTCCATTTCTCCAGACGTATTTTGTACATTACTGTTTGTAACTATGGCCAAAAGTAGATACTTCCAAAGTGGAAGACCCCTATGAAAGAAGAATATGTCAGCGCTCAGTTTTGGTCTTTTTGTGATGTGAAACTCCCAAGCATGAAGTTTACAATTAAACAAAACAAACAAAAACTAAAACCAAAACCAACCAAACAAACAAAACCACTTTGAACAAAGAAGCTAATAAGCTGTGGTATGTTTTCTCCAAAATAAAGTATCAGAAAGAGGAACATGAAAAATTTGAGGCATTTCACATATGGTAGAGAATGGTTTTCCATTTATTTGTAGAGCGTACTGCCTCATCAAAGAGTCTCTGACATGTTCTACAGGTGCCACTCTCTGAAAGGAGATGATTTTATCCTTGAAATCCCATTCAGTCTTTACCCTTGTTGCTGAAACGGTCATACTGAGAGCTGACTGTGATGATATTTCCCATGGGCATTTATACAGCATGAACTAGACCTAGACTAGACTAGAACTAGACTAGACTAGACTAGACTAGACTAGAAAAACTGCACCAAACCACCAGGACTTCATGCATGGCTAGTCAGATTAGAAATAGAAATTTCTAGTCCCCTTATTCATACCATCCTCCCATCATAATTTCTGCTACATTGAAAGCATTAGCAATGTTTTTGGAACAATCTGCAGTTTCTTAAGCCTTTTTTCCTAAAAAACAGAATTACCTTCAGCATGGCCATATTTAATTCATCTTTACAGTCAACGAGCTGCACCATTGTGCCTCTTTGTTCCTGTTGTCTTGAATTCTTATCAGCATCAGCTGTCAAATACATTTCAGATGAAATTTCAGATAACAGATGCAGAACCAAAGCATTCATTCTCAGTAATTTGAAGATTATACCCTCTTTTTCTTTATTTATAATTGGGACTTTCAATATCAAAATAAGTGAGGAAGAATGGAATACACTTCTAATAATATTAGAGATATTAGCTAAAAAAAACTTGAAAAATCTTAATGCTTATTAATTCAATAATAACCAATTTTTCCAGCAACATTTAATATGAATATTGTTTATTATATGACACGTTAATGCATATGCAGGTAAAAGCGGAAAAACTATGCTTGAAAAAAGTTGCAGAACAAATGCACTTTTCCACCATCCTTATAATTACCTTTTACGTTTGATGCTGTAATTCTGCTTGGCTCCTTCAAGCTGTTGTTCTCAACAGAATAGACGTGTTTTTCCACTTTTTCAGGTATATTATTTATTGTGGCAGAAAGGCAAATGATTAAATGCATTTTGGCTAAGGTTAATTTATTCATAATTTGTTGCTTGCACAGTGGCATCATTGTTAAAGACAGACTCCAATTAAATAGGTCTTCCAGTACCTACAAGAAAGTTAACAATTGGGACTATTTGAAATGACATATTTTACATTTTTCTTGTTCAAGGCATATTCTGCTTGTATTAATAATGACATTTATCAACAATTAACATGAATAACATTAGTAATATGCTCTTAGCCATTATGGATGAGTTGCTGTTTTCCTTTCCAAACTTAATTCACCCCTTAGTAGCACTTGCTACAGCCTCAGTGATCAGTTTTCCAGCAGAAGGTGCATCTATGAAGTTATAGGTATTACTCTGTGCGAGTTCTAGTTTTCTGCATTGTCCATAGCACTTTTTGAGCTAAGGTGGTCACAAAAAGTATGTAGGTAAATCTGTAGTTCAAAAATCTCAACTCGGAGGAAAGTCTCTTGTTACAATTCGCCCTAACTAGAAAGATTAAGCTAGGAAAAAAATTCTTGTATCAGACCATTCTAGTGTATTTCATAGAATCTTTTTGTTATTTGTTATAGCATCCTTGTTTTATCCTGAGTTTAATATTCTCACTTTAGATTAATAAATTTAGAAGCTGAAAGTCTACACAGCTTTGCAAAATCATAAGGAGACCAATAAGTGCCCCATATAGACCATGAATTGTTCAAATCAAAAGCTCAAGATAAAACACAACTTCAAAATAAATCTGAAACTAGTGAGATCAAAAGCTGTCAAGGTAGACATCTCATTTCTGTCTTCTAATATCGACTGTTGTAGGAGACACACAAGCTTACTGTAAACAAAAGAGAGAAAAGTGGAGGAAAAAAGTGGGGGTTTTCTACTTTATCAGTTTGTTTTTACGGTACAGCTTCTTTTCCACATTCTGCTAACATTTACCCTTACTGGCTCAATGGATCTGTGACAAAGCAAATGAAAGAAAATGATTAAAACTGAAAAACAAAAAAAGACGTCATTGATGAACATGTGATTTTAATTAAAATGAGAAATGACTGTTCATTACCTGGTTTATAGATTCACCTTTCTTTTTTTTTTTCCTCCAGAAATGGACTTCAACCCCAATCTGAATTAGGACAAATCTATGAAGACAGGTCTGACTGATAGAAATTACAAGGCTAGATGACTGATGTTCTTGGTATTTTAGCAGGATAAACACCAGATCCTATGTATCATGACAAAACCCGAATAGTTCTACTATGCTTTGCACAGACAAGTCACAGATATGTACATATCAGGTATCCCATCTGAAAAATGGTGATAATGGTACTTGCCTCTCCCTTGAGAGGTCAGCCATAAAATTTAAAATTTGGGAAATGGTAAACTGTTGAGGAGAATATGTTTTCTATTTACTGGTTTTTACTAATAAAAAGTATGTTTTCTGAACCAAATAGTCTCTAACTGATGCCAGAGAAATAAATATCCATGTCTAGCATAAAATTTTTACCACTTTCAGATTTTTTTACCTGTAAATTTGTAACAGTCAGGAGAGATTTTGAGGAGTCAAATTTCCGTAAGGCCTGTAAAATGGACAAAACCAAAAATAAGCAATATGTTACAGTATGAATATAAAATAAGTGAGTTAGCAGAGCAGTGGACAAGTGTAGTGCATTTCTAACTATACTTTGAGGGCTCTGAAAATATCAACAATTAATTGGCTTCTATGGGCTTTACATTTCTGAACCATAACCCGAGACCCAGAACTATCCCTTCACCTCCTATGCCATTCACCAGGATTCTTCAACATGAAGCAAGGGGACAAAAAGGCATAAACCAACAAAAATTCTTTTCCAAATTTTAGGAGCTCTACAGACACCAACCATCAATTGTCTTTATGTTCTTTACATTTCTGAATCCCAGCCTAACTCTGGACTTAGCACATGCCTCCTCTGCTATTCATCAGAGCACAGATCTGTGAATGGAATGAAAACAAGAGCTACAGGTCACAATGAACTTGAGATCTCAGCCTCCTTGAGGGCTCTAAAACCAATTATTTCTTTGCTTATATGTGCTTTAATTTTCTGAACCCTAACCCTAATTCTAGTCCTTGCTCAAAAACCCTTTACCTTTTCACCAGGAGGCAAATCAGTCTACTGAGGGGAAGGAAAAGGGAGAGGTAAAGATTATTTCCAGGCTTTGTCATAACTGAGAGCTGTACACACAACTGTCACTTGGGTTCTATGTGGTTTTTATTAACTCTTTTATTAACTCTATACTCCAGATGTAGCCCTCTGTCATCTCTGTAATTCCCTGGAACAGGGGTCCTTCTTATTCCGAGAGCTGTGCAAGAGTCCGGTAAGAACTTAGCTTCTACATGCATCACACCCTAACCAGAGACCTAATGCTGACTCTTGTGTGCTGTTCACCTGAACACTCACCTGTGAACCGAATTAGAAAAATACAAGTCGCAAATCAACCAGACCTCATCCTAGCTCTGTGAGCTCTTCAGACAATATACAAATTAAGGAAAGGACTTAAAGATGCATTTTAACCTGATTAGCATCAGTAAGGAGTAAATGCATTCCTTACTGTAGCCATGAACAGGGAAGCTTTGCAGAACCAGCTCCAGTGAGGATGCTGGTTAAGTCCTTATGGCTCAGCCTAGTGAGAATGTAATGTAATTTGTGCTCTGAGGAAAATCACTAGATTTCAGTTTCTTATCTTCCCATGCAGTTACTATGAAAGTGTCATTGGCAAATTAAAAAGGTCACCTTATTTGATAAATATTTTAATTTTACTTTTTATTAAGTACAGGCTTCATTTAAAACCTAATAGCACTGCAGGTGTCCATATTTCTGTTTTTTTAAATGTAAACATTTGACATCCTATCATAAATGTAATTGTAATTATTCCCTTATTAATTAGCTTAGACATTGATTTGTTGGCTATTGCCAAAGATGATACTGCTGCTCTGTGCTGATTATAGCCATTGTGAGGTTGTTGGGTAAGGACAGTCAGGCCATGGGTCAACTGGAAGATCCCTCTCAGGGTTTGGGGAGGGGAGAGCAGGGAAATTTCCCTTCAAATCAGCTCATTAAACTAAATTTGCTCTGCAGTGTGAGCTTCACTGCCTACAACATGGGGTAAGGGAAGTAAATGTGAAGTCATGGAGGTGGGTTAGGAATTCCCCTTGCAACACCAGCCTGTAATTATCACCAGATTAGAAATATCATCCTATTGCATGTATAGAATGTGGCTGTACAATCAAGTTAAATCCATGCTGTTGTCAAAAGGGGTGTCCCTACCTGTCCCACTAGTCTTCTATCACAAGTTCAGTCCAGCTCCCTAGCGCTGGCAGACATACTTTGTCATGGGGTGACACCTACCCAAAAGCACCACTCAGATAAGGGAGACCTTGATTACAACTGTCCAGGAATAATTCATTAGATTATTTTGTTATGTGCTTGGAAAACAAGGAAAGGCTACGTAATTGTTATGGGGGAGGCTTGCCCAATAGCTCTGGACTGTATCTGCCTGCACAGGTGTGCTCACAGGTAAGACAAAAGAAGCCCAGGTCAATTGTTAACAGCTTCATAACCTTGTAGCACATTAGTGATCAAGGTAAGATCACTACTTGGCTTTAGGTAGGGAGGAAATCAAAGAGATTGACCTGGGGTGGTGTGACTGTGAAGGCTCTGAGGGCACCAACAGTTCTTACTGCCCAGCACCTCCTGGGGCTCCCCCCACCCTGCCTACAGCCCAGGACCCCATGTCAGCCCCTCAGGGCCATCAGCCCCTGCCCCAGCGACGCCACAGTTCCCCACAGCCCTGCCCTGC